CTAGGAGTTGGTTCTTTGAAAAGGTCAACAAAATCGATAAAACACTAGCAAAACTCACAAAAGAAAAGAGGGAGAAGACACAAATAATCCGAATAAGAGATGAATCAGGTAACATCACAACAGACCCAACTAAAATAAAAAAGCTAACATTAGAATACTTTTTTGTTGTAATTTTAACAAACGTTTACAGAAAGGTTGGATTTTCATTCATTCATTGTCGTACATTTTCCTCCCTCTTCCTTCTCCCTCCCAGTTCATTTTCTTTACGAAAAATAATTATTTATTGTTGTACAGTTTATTCTTTCTCTCTCCTTTTACCATTCTTCCCCCTCCCCCCGCAATCTCCTTGCTGAATTAAATATCTCAATCACAAAGTGACAAATACTGCATAACACCACTGTTACGAAACAGAACTGACATAGGGAATTAGGGTGAAAATAGGAAAACTATGGGTGGATAATTAAGTACTGGATTGGAACATATGAGGGAAAGAGCTGTTTTAAAGGAATATATAATTAGGCATTATATCTGTGACAGTCTGGAATAAGAGATGTGTTAACAAACCAGTTTTTGTGGTTGCCATTTTGCTGTGTTCCTTTTTCTGTTGTTACTAATTACTTTAGTCCATCCACTTTCCTCTGTTGTCTTGTATGAAGAACTTCCTTTAATATTTCTTGTATAGGTTGTGTTGTTTGCACAAGTTCCTTAATTACATTTCTGTTTTTCTGCAAATGACTTCACATTTCATGGAGATCTCTGCAGGGTTTAGAATTCTCTGGTTGCAATTGTTTTCTTTCAGCTTTCTGTATATGCCATCCTATTGTCTTCTTTCTCACATGGTTTCTGCGAAGAATTAATAGCTTAATGTAATTGGTTCTTTTTTGTAGGTGACTCTTTGTCTCTCTCATGCTACATTTAATTTGATTCTTGTGTTTGATTTTGGAGAATTTGACCATCATATATCTTAATGTCTTTCTTTGGGAGTCTAGTCTGTTTGGAGATTAGAGCTTCTTGAATGAGTATGTCCTCATTTTTTCATGATACCTGCAAAGTTGTCATCTTGTGTCTCTTCTACAATGTTCTCTATGATTTTCCCCCTATTCCTCCTGTTCTGGAATTCCAATCACACCTATGTTATGTGGGTGTGTTTTTGTTTTATTTCATCCCACATGATTCTGAGTTTTCCTCATTTCCTTTCTGTCTTCTCTCTGCTTTTTTCTTCTAGTAAGTTTTCATTGAGGTTTTGTCTTCTATTTCACTAAGCCTCTATTCCATCTCTTCTGTTCCACTATTTTATCCCTCAATAGCTTCCTCTTGCATGTATCCACAATTAACACCCTTGGTACCAGCAGCCAGGAAATAGGGAGACACATTGCACTGGGAAAATGTACAGTTAGGGACCTCTCCAAATTACTGAGAAGTAACAATTCCGTTTGAGGACTAAAGTGCATCTAATTTGGGCCATCGTCTTTCTGATCACTTGCTATACATCTGAAAGCTGGAAAATGAATAAGGATGACAGAAAATGAATTGACAACTTTCAGCTGTAGTGTTGAAGGAGGGCACTGAACATCCCATGGACAGTGAAAAGAATGAACAGATATGTCTTGGAGAGGGGGCAGCTGGAGTACTCTTTGGAGACAAGAATGATGAGACTTCACCTCACATACTTTGGGCATGTTGCTAGGAGAGACTATTTCTTGGAGAGGGACATGATGCTGGGAAGGGTGGAGGGTCTGCAAAGGAGAGGAAGCCCTCAACCAGGTGGATTGATATGATGTCTGCTGCAATGGGTTCTTGTGGTCAGGAAGCGTGAGGATGACACAGGATAGAATAAGGTTCAGATATTTTGTTCACAAGGTCGCTATCAGTCATACTCAACAGTAATAACATGTTGAAGATTTCTTCAGCACTGGCCTTATTAGTCCAGTTTACATTTTCATGTTTTTCTATTGTTCTAAAACTGTGTTGGTTGTGGTCTCTCTGGTTTGTATTGATTTTTTAAATTCCTGCATCTCTTTTATACTAGTTTCATTTCTCTTCCATCATTTGTAATTTCTTCAGTACCAATTCTTGGAACTCCATAAATGTATTCTTTCTGCCTTCCTGGCTGCAGGGTATTCAGTGAATATTCTAGTCTACTTTTTTTTAGGAAATAGTTTGTTTGGGTTTTTCATGGTGTTTGATCCTGACTGCTGTTTCCTTACATTATGTGAGTTTCTTCTTGTTGTGTATGACGTAGTTTCTATAGTGTCATTGTGAATAGTTGCTAGTTCCTTATGTTTTATTATTTCCATTTCCTGAGTGCAGTTTTCTCAGGAGGCCTCAGCTGCATGATCTGTCTGTGACCAAGGCACTCCTGTAACAGAGACCTTTGAATTTTACTTTAATGCTTTCTGCATCATTCAATATTTTTTGCATGGAATCTTTTAATCTTGCAGCTTAAGTCTTGAATTTATTCTTCAATACTTTCAGCTTGATAAATGCTAAATGTGTTTTTCCTTTTTTATTTTCTAACTCTAGCTTCTTGCATATCTCATTATAATACTTTTTTTGTCTTTCAGAGCTTCCCTTTGAAATCTGTTCTGTTTTCTTACTTCAGTAGAGTCTCTTTGGACATCCATTTTTGCATTCCTTTCTCCCACCATGTCTTTGCAATGACGTTTTGCTTTCTTCATGAGGTCCTTGATGTAATGCCACAACTCATTTGGTCTTCAGTCACTGGTATTCAACGCATCAAATTTATTCTTGAGGGGATTTTTAAGTTCAAATGGGATAGAATTGAGGTAGTATTTTTTTGTTCTTGTAGACTTGCTTTAATTCTCCTCAGCTTCAGTTTGAACTTTCAATAAATAATTGATTGTTTCACAGTCAGCTTCTGGACTTCTTTTGACTGTTGATACGGACCTTTTCTAATGTCTTCTTCCACTAATGTAGTCAATCTGATTCCGCTGTGGTTCATCAGTTGATGTTCACATGTTCATTTAAAAAGAAAGGCATTTGCAATGAATAAATAATTGATTTTACTAAATTCTATCAAGTCATCACAAGCCCTATTTCTTTCACCAAAAATATATACTTATTACTTCAGTTTTAAAGAATAGAAGTGTGTTTGAGGTTTTGATAAAACACTAACACCCTGTATTGGGTAACTAGGATCCAAATTAACTCATGTTGAAAAGCCAGGTTTGCCTTATGAGCTGGAATAAGCAAGAAGTGACTTTTCAAGATAAACCTTGTGACCACCACTAACTGCAGCTCCCTAAATCTACTCTACTTTGAGGTCAGTGGATATATTTGGCAGGGATTAGTGGTGCTTTCTTTTACAAAGAACCACAGTGAGCTGTTTAGAAAACAGAAGGCATCTTTACCATAAATGTGTGTGTGGTTATAGGAAGGAGGATTCAATGGGGGCTTCCTAGATAACCATGCCTTTAGCAGCACTTCCTGGTGTCAGTCTGTCCTATCCCCTCCCTTCTTTTTTGAAATCCATAATTGTCTCCCCTGTGAATTGCATACCAGATGTCTAATACACCTATGTCACATCCACCTCTTACACTATAGGGTCTCATGCAACAGCCTGGCTACCATAGGCAAGGGTAGACTCTCTACCATTGAGGTAATAGGATGAGTATGAAAATCAGCAGCTTAGATTTGGAAGTTCTTATGAATATGAGCAGTAGTGAAACAGAATTCATAAAAGTCATAGAGTTGTCACTTTAATGTTTAATATTTACTATCTCTAGAAACTTTATGACTTAAACAGGTATAAAAATGTTGCTGAAACCAGTATCATCCTAAACTTTTGCATTCTGTCACAGCACAAGGTTATCTGTTGCAAGTCACAGTTCCTCTTGAGATGATGGAAATCCTGCTCACAAGTACTCCTTCACAGTTTCCCAAGCTTAGTCCGTCTCTCTCAGGTCTATATTCTTTAGCTGTAATCAATTCTAATAAAAAACAAGCAAACAAACAAAAACACAACAGCCCAGAGATAAATAAACATCAGGTTTTCAACATGTTTCTCAATGGCCAGCAGCTTCCTTTCCTCTCTTATAGAGATGCATTGAGAAAAGTCCCACTCCTAGAGTTTTCTGTCACCATCTGACCATAGGCCTCCATTCTCACTGCTTCCCAAGTCAGTGTGATTTACATGTTCAGCATGCATATACACATAATGACTCCTACCCATTATCCTTTGACAGTATTCACGAAAATGGGGATAAAGCTGGACTTTGTAAGGAAAATCTGCTGCTACGAGGATGTACTATCAGAAACACTGAGGCAGTGGTTGGCATAGTCATCTATGCAGGTAGGTACTAAGTATGTGTATTAAACTCTGTCTTAATCATGTGTTAGTCTACATGTTTAGGCATTATGTTCCTGAACATTTTTCTCCATTTTTTTTCTAGCATATGTAGCCACTATAGACACACACACACACACACACACACACACACACACGAACACAGTCACTATAGAAAATATATATGTAAATGTGTAACTCTAGTGGCATAGTCTGTAGTGTGTTATGTTCCACTGGTTCAAATCCACCAGTTATTCCAAGGGGAAAAGATGGCCAGTCCCCTCCTGTTAAGATTTACCTGCTTGGAAACCCAAGAGAGTGTAATTATAAGTCAGAAAGCAACTAGATAGATGGCAGTAAGTTTGATACACAAGTGTGTAAATACAGAGATAGAACTATACACACACATACAATTACAACAATTGTAAAAAATTTGGAAAATTGTGAGACTATAAACAAATTAAAGACAGAATTTTTATTATAATAGAACCAGAAGTTCTGTCTCTTAGCATTTAAATCCATTTCCTTCACCATGGTATTTACATACTTAAGATTCATGTTATACCCTGCTGTATCTATTGAGCTTATCCACATAAATGTCATTTGATGGTAGCACACTCTTCCTTCTGTGAAGTCTATATCATTCATCTCCTGATTGTTGGATATTTGTTCATGACTTTCTTCATCCATTGGATAGGACATGAAACCAAGGCTCTGCTCAACAACAATGGGCCACGGTACAAGCGAAGTCAGCTAGAACGTCAGATGAACAGTGATATCCTTTGGTGTGTCCTTATCCTCATTTGCATGTCTCTGTTCTCTGCTATAGGTAAGTTTTCCAGACTAAAGAGAAAGAACACTGGCAGTTTCTGCTGCACGTCTTTCAAGAGAAGACTTGTAGGTTGACACTAACTATCCTGACATACTACTATAGAAGTTAAACATCTCTCATGGACATGACCTTAAGGGAGTTTTGAATAAACACAAGAAGTCTAAAAGAAAATGTTTTGGAAGAATAGTCATTTTTCTAATTGGAAAATTCTTGGATGTCAGACTGATATAATCATAACAGCAGTAATAATTTTAGTACAATGATCATTCATGAACTAGAAGAACTCTATGAAAAGAGAAAAGCTCATTATGATCCTAAGCCAAGACAAGTATTTAAGTGCCATATGTAGATGTTGGTGCTTCACAGCCTTTACTAACTGCAGAGATGCCACAGTGCCTTAGGAAACAAGTATGCAAAATCCTAGTAATACATGCACCTTAATACACGTTCAGCTCATCACACACAAAGAGCTGCCACAGTGGGTTTAGATAACGCACTGTACCTGAGAAAAGCCCCGTCTTCCAGTACGTAAAGACCCCGGCAGACAACATACCATGTATCTCTAAGAAGAGACACAAGTGGACAAGGACAGAAAAGTCGATTGTCTTTTCACCAAGTAAATCCTGAGACTAGTGGTTTCGGTGACATGCAAGGACAGTCCTGTCTGTGGGTTATGTGGTCAGTTGCCTGCTTAGCCCCCACACTCAAACATTGCCCCATGGTTTTGCCAGCAGAAGAAGCTTATTCCAGCAATGGGAAACTACCTGGGTGATAGATGAGTCTAATTACAGTCCTGCCCAGCAGTTTAATGATGCTAATATTGCATATTTTACTTTCTTTTATAGCTAAACAGGCCAATAAAACTGAAAGTGCTCACATTGAATAACTCATGTTTAAGTTTTGCTTTATTTTATGCAGTGCTTTTAATTTCCCATTGAATTACTGATGCTTCTCTTTTAACACCACTACAGGACATGGAATTTGGGTGTGGCGATATCAAGACAAGAAATCATTGTTTGATGTCCCTGAGTCTGATGGAAGCTCTTTGTCCCCAATAATATCTTCAGTTTACTCATTTTTAACAATGATAATAGTTCTGCAGGTAACAGTCTTAAATGTCATATAATAAGACTTTTCTGAAGAAAACTTAAAGGCAGCATATGCTGCTAAGAAATTCCTCTAATTTCTACATCTGAGAGGATCACAAATATAACTTCCTAGGAAAGGCCAGTCTTTAGAAAAGTACATCATGCTTGGAAAATTGGAGGGTCAGCAAAAGAGAGAAAGATCTTCAGTGAGATGAATGTCTACAAAGGCTGGAGCAATGAACTTTAGTGGGGATGAGGATGATGGCACAAGATAGTGCAAGGTTTAGCTGTGTTGTTCACAGGATTGCTGTGGCTCATGGTCAACTGAATGGCACCTACCAACAACACTACAACAAAATATTGCACTTTGATTTTCTACTCAATTTATCAATCAACTCTTAGGTGTTTTTTCAAATTAAAATTCTCCTTCGCTGGTCTCAGAATTAGTATGTCTTTGAGGGTTGAGTTGTGGTCATAATTTTTGTTGAGTAATGTTTTTCCTTATTTCAAGTTGTTGTTGTTGTTGTTGTTGTTGTTGTTACTGCTGTTATGTGCCATGGAGTCTCTTGTGACTCATAGTGACCCTATGTACAACAGCCCAAAACTCTGCTCTGTCCTGTGCCAATCGCAGTGTCTCTGATACTCCAGTCCCGATTATCCCAGTCACTGAAACATTCCACCTCATAGCAAGCCTTCCCCTCCTTCGCTGTCCCTCCACCCTCCCTAGGATGATGTCCCTCTCCAAGGACTGGTCCCTCCTTACAAAATGTCCAAAGTATGTTAGATGAAGCCTCAGAATCCTTGCCTCCAAAGAGCGGCCTGGTTTAACCCTTTCCAAGATGAATCTGTTTGTTTTCTTAGCAGTCCATGGTACCCTCAATACTCTTATCCAGCACAACAGTTCAAAGGCATCAATTCTCTTTCTACCCTTGTTAGTCATTGTCCAACTCTCTGAGGCATAAGAAGTGATAGCAAGGACCATGGCCTGTATCAGATGCACCTTAGTCTCCAGAGTGACACCATTGTTCTTCAGTACTTTGGAGAGATCCCTAACAGCAGACTTTCCCATCGCAATACGTCTTTTAATTTCCTGGATACTGGTGCCAAGAGTGTTGACTGTGGAGCCAAGCAACCTAAAGCTGTAACATTCTCAATCTCTTCACCATCCAGCCTGATGTTGCCAATTGGTCCAGTGGTGAGAATCTTTGTTTTCTTGACATTGAGCCTCAATCTATACGGAAGGCTGCAGTCCTTGACTCTCTGGAGCAAGTGCTTCAGGTCCTCCTCAGTTTCAGCCAACAGGGTTGTGTCATTTGCATAACACAGATTGTTGATAGATCTTCTACCAATTTTGACCCCACATTTCTCCTCATAGAGCCCAGCCTCCCAGATAATCTGTTCTGCACACAGGTTGAAAAGGTATGGAGACAGGACACATCCCTAGCGTGTGTATGCCCTTCCCAATTTTGAACCATGCAGTGTTTCCTTGCTCTGTTCTGACGACTGCCTCTTGGTCCAAATATAGGTTTCTCATTAGCACGATCAAGTGTTCTGAAAATATTAAATATTAAGTGTTCTAAGAATATTAATATTAAGTGTTCTAAGAATATTAAATGATCCAGGAAGTATTAAAAGAAGATGGAAAGAATACACTGAGTCACTGTATCAAAAGAAATTGGCAGACACAGAAGAATTTCATGAAACAACATATGAGCAAGAGCCTATGGTGATCAAGGAAGAATTCAGGCTGCTTTAAAGGAAATGGCAAAAAATAAGGCCCCGGAAATAGATGGTATATCAATTCACATATTTCAGCTAGCATATGCTGTCCTGGACGTGATCACCAAGTTGTGCCAGGAAATCTAGAGAACAACCACTTGGCCAACTGACTGGAAGAGATCTATATTTGCCCTCATCCCAAAGAAGGGTGACCCAACAGAGTGTGGAAACTATGGAGCAATATCATTGATTTCACATGCAAGCAAGATGTTACTGAAGATTATCCAAAAACGACCGGAACAGCACATCAGCAGAGAACTGCCAGAAGTCCAGGCTGGGTTTAGAAGGGGTCGTGGTACTAGGGATATTGTAGCTGATGTTAGATGGATCTTAGCTGAAAGCAGGGGATACCAGAGGAATGTCTATCTGTGTTTCATTGACTATGCAAAGGCATTTGACTGTGTGGATCATAACCAACTGTGGCTGACTCTAAGAATGGGAATCTGAGAACTTATTACAAGTAGTCTTTAAAAATATAAATGCTACTTTGGAAAATTTTTAGATTTACAGAAAATTTGCAAAGAATATGCAAAGCATTTCCATATACTGTTTACCCAGTTTCCCCTGGTATTGGTATCATAAATTCACATTGCCCAATTAAGGGATCAATAAGAATCCAAATCTCATTTCCGTTTTAGTAATCTATTAATGTGCTTTTATGTTCCATATTTAATTGTTGTTAAATACCACTTTGTCTACTACCACTTGTAGTGACCCTATGAACAATAGATTGAAACCTTACCCTGTCCTGTGCCATGCTAACTATCTCCACCATGCTCATGACAATTGTTGCATTCACCATTATCAATCCATCTGGGGAAAGGTCTTCTCTCTTTTGCTGACTTCCTTGTTTTTCCCAGCAGCCTTTTTTCAAGGACTGGCCTCTCCTGACAGCATGTCCTAGGTACAACAGACCTATACCCTGCTCTATCCTGTGCCAGTCACACTGCCTCTGACACACCCATCCTGATTACGTGAGTCACCAAATCAATCCACCTCATAGAGGGTCTTCCCCTCGTGTGCTGTCCCTCCACCCTCCCAAGAATGATGTCCCTCTCCAAGGACATGTCCCTCCTTACAACATGTCCAAAGTATGTCACATGAAGCCCCAGAATCCTTGCCCCCAAGGAGCAGCCTGGTTTAACCCTCTCCAGGATGAACCTGTTTGTTTTCTTGGCAGTCCATGGTACATTCAATACTCTTCTCCAGCACTACAGCTCAAAGGTATCAATTCTCCTTCCTAGTTATTGTCCAACTCTCTGAGGCATAACAAGTGATTGCAAAGACCATAGCCTGCATCAGATGCACCTTAGTCTCCAGAGTGACACCATTGCTATTAAGTACTTTGGAGAGGTCCCAAACAGCAGACTTTCCCATCGCAATATGCCTTTAATTTCCTGGCTATTGGTGCCAAGAGTGTTGACCTAGGAGCCAAGCAAAATAAAGTTGTTAACAATTTCAATCTCTGCACCATCCATCCTGATGCTGCCAATTGGTCCAGTGGTGAGAATCTTTGTCTTCTTGACATTGAGTCTCAATCCATACTGGAGGCTGCAGTCTGTGACCCTCTGCAGCAAGCATTTCAGGTCCTCCTCAGTTTCAGCAAGCAGAGTTGTGTCAGCTGCAGAACACAGACTGTTAATAGATCTTCCACCAATCCTGATGCCACACCTCTCCTCATAGAGGTCAGCCTCTCAGATAATCTGCTCTGCATACAGGTTGAAAAGGTATGGAGATAGGATACATCCCTGTCATACACCTTTCCCAATTTTAAGCCATGCACTGTTTCCCTGTTCTATTCTGACGACTGCCTCTTGGTCCAAGTATAGGTTTCACATTAGCATTGTCAAATGTTCTGGGATTCCAATTCTTCTCAGAGTCAGCCACAGTTTGTTATGATCCACACAGTCAAACACCTTTGCATAGTCAATGAAACACAGTTAGACATTCCTCTGGTATTCCCTGCTTTCAGCTAAGATCCATCTAACAACAGCTACAATATCCCTAATACCACAACCCATTCTAAAGCCAGCCTGGACTTCTGGCAATTCTCTGCCGATGTGCTATTCTGGTCGTTTTTTTATAATCTTCAGGAACATCTTGCTTGCATGTGAAATCAATGACATTGTTCTGTAGTTTCCACACTCAGTTGGGTCACCTTTCTTTGGAATGGGAACAAATATAGATCTCTTCCAGTCAGTTGGCCAAGTGGTTGTTCTCCAGATTTCTTGGCACAACTTGGTGAGCACATCCAGGGCAGCATCTGCTAGCTGAAATAAGTGAATTGTTATAGCATCTATTCCCGGGGCATTATTTTTTCCTATTTCCTTCAAATAAGCTTGAACTTCTTCCCTGATCACCATAGGCTCTTGCTCATATGTTGTTTCATGAGATTCTTCTGTGTCTGCCAATTTCTTTTGATACAGTGACTCAGTATATTCTTTCCATCTTCTTTTGATACTTCCTGGATCATTTCATATTCTGCCGAAAGCATCCTTGATTATAGCAACTCGAGGTTTGAATTTGTCCTTCAGTTTCTTGAGCTTAAGAAATGCTGAGTGAGTTTGGCCCTTTTGATTTTCTGACTCCAGCTCCTTGAACATTCCATTGTAGTATTTTGCTTTGTCATCCCATGCTGCCTTTTGGGATCTTCTATTAAGCTCTTTAGTATCTTGAATTCTTCCTTGTGCTTTGGCTTCTCTGCCCTCCAGTGAAATCTTTAGAGTTTCTTCTGACGTCCATTTTGGTCTATTTTTTTTTCTCTTCTGTCTTTGCAATGACCATTTGCACTCTTCCTGGATGATACATTTGACATTCTCCCACAACTCATTAGGTCTTCGCTCATTAGTGTTCAAGGCCTCAAATCTGTTCCTGAGATGGTTCTGAAATTCAGTTGGAATGAACTCAAAGTCATATTTTATTCCCAGTGGATTCGGTTTCATTTTCCGCAGCTGAGTAGTTGGTGGTCTGTTCCACAATCAGCTCCTAGCCCAATTTTCACAGCTGATATTGAGCTTCTTCAGTGGTTCTTTCCATAGATGTAATTGATCTGATTCCCAAGCATACCATCAGGAGAAATCCATGTGTATAACCTGCCTTTATGTTTCTTATAAAACGTATTTGCAATCTCCAACTTCATTTCTGTCACCAAGTCCATGTTTTCCAACTACTGATTCTTCTTCTCTGTTCCCAACTTTTGCATTCCAGTCACCTATTATTATCAATGCATCTTGAT